TACATGAATTATACATTTCTTGTGCAAACAGCAGGGCCACATAATAAATAGTGTTATCTTAAACTCTCCAGTTCGGCATCCACATATGTGTCTTTGAAGTCATTGATTGGATTGCATTCAGCAAAGCAGCTATCCAGAGACAATTTCCAAACCAATAGGTGTCTTGTATACTGTCAAAAAGCTGTTGATTCTAATGCATTATTTTAGCAAATAGCCAGAGTATCTATTTTTAGTACAGAAATATTTCCATATCATTTTGTTAACAGTAGAACATTTTTTCCACAAAAGGTGTGAAGAAAGCCAAAGTGTGTTCCTAGACAGCCACAACATAGGCACCTCACTCCCCATCTCCTTATCCCTTTCTGTTACTCTGTGTAATTGAGAATTTACTGGCTTTAATTCCAAAAGGGTAATTAATACATCGAGAATCACAGCATCACAAATGAGAGCACAAAAACTTCCTTTGCAAGGGGGATTTTAGTAACCAAAAGCACTATATTCAACAACTGGGCCCAGCTCTGTTCTAGATATCTAAGACAATGAAGGGAAGAAAAGCATGAAGGAAAATGTTCCTGTATTTTGTCATTGCATATCCAGTCCAGTACACATGAATGGTCACAAGTTTCATCATATGGAACACAGGACTGAAGGGAAGGATAGGTATTTCCTGGTCCAGCCCATTGCAGTGAACTTAAATTAGTATAAAAACACATAGCTGATTTCATCCCATGGAGAGGGAGGTTTTCCTAATTTAAATCCAACTGTAGTCATTGGAACAGTACAACTGCAGGCAAAGATACCCAACTTGAACTCAAAAGACTTGGTGTAATTATCTAGCATCATACAATGATATGACACAGGTTTCAGAGGCAGTCTAGGAAGGTCAGCTTGATACTCAGCACAGGCAGACTAGAGCTTGCTGGATGTTGCCTGAACCTGATAGTGTTGCTTCAGTGCCCACAGCTTGCTGAGATACTTCTACACAGCTCAGCATTGTGCAGTACAGGTGCACCTTAGGCACACACGATTATCTGTTGCAGAGGAAAGAGTTGGGTGCATAATATTTTAGTGCTTGACAACCCCAAATAACAGTAGATTATTTTCTTCAAAAAGCCTCCAATTCTCTATAGAAACCTTCTAATTATGGATTTTCTTTCCAATTTCCATCTTCCTTGTGCTCTTAGATCCTCTCAGCAGAGTGTATTTGAAACCAAAAAATCCATCTGACTCGCTGAGTACCTACATAAATGCTAACTACATTAGGGTAAGTAAATGTACACTCTTCATGTGCTTTTGAAACAATATTTCATTTTCCAATGAATACCTGGTTTTGCTAAGGTGCCACTCTCCTACCTGTCTTCACTGATAATTCCTTATCTTTTTTTCTACATTGGTGTGACAGGAATAGTTTCTTGAACTATTTGTAACAAAGACCACACAGCCATTAATATATTAAAATGATTGCAGTAAGAAAACACTTTATCAACTAGTTTATAAAAAACATTGAGAAATACATGCATTACTATTTATTTACTTCAGTATTTATCTTTTAATATTGTCCTTCTGCCTTACAGTAAGGAAATGACAGTTACCTTTTAACAGTGACAGAGATACCAGTATTGCCGTTCCCTTTCCTCTGCTTCCCCACAGTTAGCTTGGTGCTTTTTTGACCTTCTATACATCTGTGTGTCTTGGGACTCCCTATACTGATATGCTGGCCTTCCTATAAGGTCTCATAAAGGTGCTTCTCCCTTAGCAAACATATATAGCAGAATCTTGGATTCCACAAGCATTCATGTATTTTATATTTTTTTTTCCTGTTATGAATCTTCATAGGAACTAATTTTATAGTTCTCATTTTTTTTTCCTGTGGCTTGTTGACTGTAAACTGTCTTGTAAACACTGCAGCAATATGGATTAAGTACCACTGGATGATGGATAGCCCCAACAACTTGGAGAACAGAGTAAGCTAGAAGAAGCCAAGTAAACAGAGAAATTTGCGAGGGATTGATATATTCTCAGGATCATTTCAGTCCATCCAGTTTCCAGAGGAAAAGCTGTTCTACTGAAAAATTTCGGATCTGCTCTACTCTTAGTCATAATTGCTTTCAGTTCAAGTAACTTGTTGGTGTTTTTTTAAACTCCAGATTAATTTTTCTGCTCTTTTAGAACATCCACCTTCAGTTTTTTTGACCACATGGATTTAAAGCAAATACTTTTGTTTCTTTTTCTAAACCAGGGATATGGAGGTAAAGAGAAGGCTTTCATTGCAACTCAGGGACCCATGATTAATACCGTGAATGATTTCTGGCAGATGGTTTGGCAAGAAGACAGCCCTGTCATTGTTATGATCACAAAGCTGAAAGAAAAAAATGAGGTATGACAACTAGCCAAACTGAGAAACTATTCCTATGGCTGATACTGTAGAAAGAACCTTAGCATACATGAAAGGAAGCTTGCAGATAACCAGCTCTTAAATAATCTGGTAATGGTCAATGTGATAAGTAAAGTTGGGGTAGCCAAATGCACTAACTCCAACTGCATAGCAGTCAGATGCATTTAAAAAAGACAAAAAGGCATTCCATTTTCTAGATCTGTGCTGCTAGGCTCATTTTCTTTTAAGAAACACCTCATTTATTTGTTGGTCACCTCTGTACTTCTTGTAACTTTCTGGTATATGGTAGGACAATGATAGGACAAGGGGCAATGGGTACAAACTGGAACACAAGAGGTTCCACTTAAACTTGAGAAGAAACTTCTTCTCAGTGAGTGTGACGGAACACTGGAACAGGCTGCCCAGGGAGGTTGTGGAATCTCCTTGTTTGAAGACATTCAAAACCCGCCTGGACACGTTCCTGTGTAACCTTATCTAGGTGTTCCTGCTCCGGCAGGGGGATTGGACTAGATGATCTTTTGAGGTCCCTTCCAATCTCTAACGTACTGTGATATTGTGATACTGTGATATAAAGAATCAATGGTTAGCATTATAGTTAGAGGTTTTCTGATGTAGTCGAAGTTTTCATTTTGCTATAATTGCAGGTTTTGATTCCATTCCAGAAATTACAAGTCTTCTGGACCATCCCAGAAATACAGTTTGGGCTCCCAAATGCCGATACCACAAGACGGACTTGGCCAGAATGAAAATATGTGGCTCTTTACCTTAGTACCGAGATGACAATTGTATTTTAATTGATAATGGCCATCTGACTGCCTGTTATACATATGTGACTTTTGGATCAATTCCTAACTACAACTTTAATAGCTTTATTTAGTATTCATGCAAATTGTTGCCAGGTTTTCCTTGATTGTGCCAGAGTCCATATTTGTGACTGCCATACATTAGGAACAAAAATTATTCTCCCTTGCAAAGGGACAACACAAAGCTGTGTTCTGGAAGAATAAATGTTAAACAAGTGGTTTACAAGGCTTGTGGACAAGAGAGAGACAGACACGAAGGAGTTTTTTTCCTTGAGTCCAAACTGCTAGACTTGGTATCAGTTCCCAGCTCCAGTTAGGTACCTCAGTCAGATCTCAGCACCTTGCCAGGTAAGCACTAGGGCTATATTGCCCCAGCTTCACTCACACCCCTACTCTTCAAACTCAGATGCATGTGATGACAGAGAAACAGAGTTTATTCAGGCAAAGTTCCCAGTTTGAGTGATTGGGGACTGAGATCCTCAGTGCATTCGCAGGCCTCAAACTCACTGCCCCATGCAAATGTGGACTCAGTAGACATACTCTCTTGTGCTCTTGACTGCTGCTTGGCTCTTTGTCACCCTGTGTTTGGGCTTCTAGCATAAACTTAAGATCAAATGGATTATAAGAAAGCTGTATGTAAGAAGTAGGTTAGACCTGTAAAATATCCCAAGCCGTATTTCCAAACTAGGTGCCATTTTGCACTAGACTTCAAACAAGTGTCCAGAAGCCTACATTAAAAAGATTACTCCTGAAAACACAGAAAATTTACCCTGGCCTAATTGGCCAAAAGGGTAAGTATTTCTCTGAGGAAGTGCTGACTGTTTAAACACTCACATCTGACACTGTGTAAGAAGAATGACTTGAAAGAAGAGCCCAGTGGTTTCCACCGTGTCAGGAAGCCCTGTGTTTACCTGAGTTACGCAGGCTGTAGGCATTGGTGTTTATCCGCATTGTTGTGGCCTGGCAGTGGTAATTTCCTCCTAATAGAAAGGATGGGGAATCTCAAATCGTTCCCAGGCTATATAGAGGGGCTGTGTTTGCACAAGCTGTCCTGCTCTGTCTAGAAACCTTAGAAACTCTCACTGTTAGGTTCCTCCTGAAACCTGGCTTACTACTGGAAAGGAAACAGCTTAGCTAGTGGCTGAGCTCAGTGTATTAACTCACTTTCTAAAGAGGAGGCAAAAGCAGATGTTATTTCGTGTAATAGCAGTTGATATTTTTTTCTTTTCTATTGTCTGCTTTATTTCCATCATTTTCAGAGAGGTGCAGTATACACACATACAGATTTTTTTTCATATTTGAAAGCATACTCATCCACATCCACCCCTGCACAAATAAACACCATACCCGACTCTCAGTTGTAGGCCCCATTCTTCAGATGATGTAACTTCAGTCAGCCTCCATTTGAGCTATAATGTACTATAAAGTAATGTGTAATGAGGGAGCTCTCAAATGAGAGACACATGGAAAACCTTAATCTCAACAATAAATTCATTTGTTTATCATAAGTAAAATTATTTGGGACATTAGTGTCCTAGTGCTATATACTGATATGATGAATTTGCAATCAAAATGGGAATTGTGTGAAATGATGATAAACAAAAGTTTCTATAGAGTTACTTCCTTCCATGAGAGGAAAAAATGGTTAAGACTCTGTGGTAACAGTTTTTGTAAGATGGATGAAGATGTAATATAAAGTAGAGTGCTGAATAAAATACCTATTTCAGCTGCATGAAAAAAAAAAAAAACAACCGTGAAGCATTCTATTACTGGATTTTCTTTCTTTTTGAAGACTGATTAAAAAACAATGAGATTGATTTGTAAGCAAGAATAATGCCAAAGGAACTATGGGTGCTGTGAGTGTTTTAAACAGAATCTGTAAAACTTGTCCTCAGCACTACACAATGTCTGAACAGACTGGAAATCTACCTAGGCAAGGAGAGTCTACAGCAAAGGAACTTCTGCCTGAACAAATAATGAGAAACTTGTAAATCTAGGCTATAATTTTAGGGTTAATATGAGGAAAATCACAACTCATCTAGTGATCTAGGTACCCTCCCTGGTTACTGAAGAGCAGTAGTCACTTTCACAGGGTGACCCCTCCTATTCTAAGAGATCAGTGACCATCTGTAGTAACATTTTTGGACAGGATCTTATATAGCTTTATGCACGAGGCACATGCAAACTTCATATATTACAGAAGTTAGTCAACTGGAATTTGACAAATATGTGGAATGTAAGAAGTTTATAGACTTCTATATAATTTTGCAGAGATGTTTATAGACTTCTGTTGTACCAGCTGTTTTTCGTAATTGTGCTATGTATTCCATAGATAATATGCGTTTAGTTGTCTTAAAAGCTTACTAGCAACTTTACCTGTTAACCAGAAAACATATTTTAGGAAGCATAAAGAGAGAATACCGTGTGGCATTCTACAAGAAGAAAGGCCTAGTACTGACTGATGCATTAAACAATGTGTGTTTATTCAACTCAGATAATGTAAATCTTGTCAGTAATTATCTAGGACAATCTTGTTAACTCACTGTTTAAAGCTCATATTGTTTTTCATGTGACATTTTTTCCTTCCTCTATAAGCACACTTATCTGTGCACAGCAAAGTAGATTTTGGAATTCAGAAATCCTTACTATTATAGATTCACCTAAGCCTCTTTGGATTATTAGTTCAGTACTGGTACTATAGATACGGCTTGGGTTTTGGAAAAACTTTAGAAGATTTGGTCCTAATTTTGAGGTTTTTAGTACAGGACAGGGGATTGGAGGGAGCCTAAGCCTGCAGGCCTGTCACAGGAGGAAGGACAAAAGCTGAAACCAATTAAAGGTCATGCGAGATGCTGTTTCTTGTATAAACTTCCTGTTCAGGTCAGGGAATGTCATTTTTATGGGGCAGATCAGAAATAAATAACCATTTATTAGCAAAAAGCTAACCAATGGAAATTAATTCGAGGGGAGAATTTGAAAGATGGAAGGAAGATGAGAATTTCTACATGGAAGTAAGAGGTTTCCCAGGCTTTTAGCTGCCATGCAAGTTGGCTAGGATTTTTTTTTTTTTTTTTTTCAGATTAAGCATCTTTTAAAAACACCCTGCTCATAGTTGTTATATGTTTGCTCACTGCATAGAGGATTGTATGTTCAACCCCAAGCTCACAAAATGTGTGACCTATTTAGAAAGTGCTGTAATGAATGAATATGCAGCCTGAAAGAAGAGCAGGGAACAGAATCAGGACCAGCGGAAAGAGTGAAGGTGGAAGATGATGTGATGATAAGAACAAGTAAATTCTTTCTTTTTTTTTTCTGATACATACTATTTGCAATAGGCTTTACTGATTACAGACCAGAGACTAGAGAGCAGACTTCACAGACACTGTTTTTGGCTTTTGAACAGGTTTAAAATATACCTATATGGGACTAGTGGAATTTTCTTTCAGGTTCAAGTAATGGCTTGAGGCAATTTACTTGTTTTTGCTGATGCTCCTGGGATTTACTGTATTATTTTCCATATGTTTGATGCCTTCACCCCTCCCGTCTTCATCTTTATCCTTTTTTTATAATTAACTTTCAAAAACATGTTAATTCCCCCAAATATCTGCCCTCTTAGAAGTGCCTGAACAAGCTGATCTTAGCTCTACTTTCAAGGCTTTTCTTACAGCAGTAACAAATGGTATTTGTAAAAGATGCACAGAGGCTGTGTTAAAAATAATCCTTTGTATTTCACTAAATGTAGACGAACTGTTAAATGGAAGTTATTTTAATGAACAGCCCCATTTCATTGTCCACCCAGTGCAAGTTGCCAATTCCAGTTCTGGGAAAGAGTCAAGAAAAACACTCTTCTGAAGTGCCTGAAGGCTTTGTAGTGAGCGTTGTATGCTCACATTTATCAAAAAGTCTCAGGGGTTGACTCAACTATTGTTGATTGTCAGGGTACAATTGTGTATTTAGAGTTTTCTTTTCCCCATATTAGCACTGAAAACTACACTCCCAGGGAGGGGCATGAACTGCAGATCTGGCAGATGATAGTAGCTAAACGTGTCACGTGAGGGGACTGTGGAACTTGTGAACACCTTTCTTTTTGTACAAATTTCTGAGTATTTTATTGCCATTCTTGATGTCTTCGGGGAGACAGCAATTTTAGGATGTTCGGGTGATGCTGCAAAAGGCAGGATCCGAATGAAACCGGTCAGATTGGCCAGCATTATTTCAGAAAATGTGGCTTTCACACACCTTACACTATTAAGGTAATGAGCATCTATTTTTAGATGAGTATTTGTACAACAGAGATGTTGTTCAGTTCAGTCAGGTGATGTTCAGTTCAGTCAGCTGTTGGGTTATCGTGTAGCAGCTTGAAGATCACACCTGGTGGTAAAGCCTCACATTTCACTGCTAATTTGTTTTGTATCATTTTTAGTATTACTGGGAGTTATGCTTTATGGCAATTAATTACATTAAAGGGATTTTTTCATTTTGCTGTGTAATGTAGGCTACTGTCTAAATGTAAACTAGTTTATTCAGCAAGAGTTTGTGAGGAAATGCAAACAAGTTCTTTCTGGGATTCCTGTTATTGTAGAACTGTCTGTTTTCTGGGCATTTGGGGTTTGTTTGGTTTTTTTACTTGTGCACTGGATATTAAAAAGAATATTTTCTTTAATTGTTGGGGTTCATTTTATCATATTGGCCAGCATTATTTCCAAAAACGTGGCTTTCAAACACCTTACACTCTTAAGATAATAAGCATTTATTTTTAGAGAAGTGTTTATACAACAGGTAGACTATAGAGATTCTTTCATGGAAATGAAGTTGCAGTTGACTTGAAGATAAGAAAATTATTGGAAGGGAAAAATAAAATGATTCATATTGTAGATATTATTTCTTCATCTCCTTTTCAGTAGATGCTTGTCAGATACATTGCTGAAAGACTGTAATGCTACTGATTCATTAAGAATTCTGGATATAATTTTGTGTAGCTCTAGCAAGACTGATAGATTTTTTTAGCGTTCATTTCCAGTAAGTTATATAGTTGACAACTCCATGCACATCAAGTCCCATTGAATTCATTAAGATCTAAGGGCACATTTACAAGCTTTGTTGTATCAGGGCTCAGGAGACTAAAGAGGATAAAAAGTCTTGTGAGGAGAGGACAAACTCTGAGTCTCTTGCTCAGAAGGAAATCTGCTTTGGAAAGAGAAAATTTTATAAACTTAATTCTATGAATTAAAGAATTTTCTAGGGGAAAAAGTCTTTAATTTTGAATGTGGAAAAGAGTTCCTTTGACTGAACTTCTTTGAGCTTTTAAAAATAAAAATAGCTGTTCAAAGTGTTCCGTGGTAGAAATCTGTATTTGAAAAACTCAGATCCTGAAAATCAGGCCTAAGTCATTCTTTAAGAACCCTGCAATATCTTCCTTGGGAATGCTTCTGACGTGAATAACCCCTTGGTTGAGTTCATCCCAACTTTCCAGACGAATACGTTCTGTGTAAAAATTAGATATGAATATGGCTCCAGGATGCAGCTTATTGATGACACTGATTCTTGCTTTCCAGAAATGTGTGCTTTATTGGCCAGAAAAAAGAGGAATCTATGGGAAGGTGGAAGTCCTTGTTAACAGTGTTCAAGAATGCAAGAACTACACTATCCGTCAGCTTACAATAAAGGTAACAGTCTGCATCTGAGAAACATTGTTCTGAATACTTTCTTTTTTTAATGTTAAATGAAGTTAAAGAGGTTTCTTTAAGGGGCATAAATTTTTACAGGAGTAACTGAGCTATGAAGCTCACAGCTGCAAGGTATGATTGGAACCAAAGCACTGGAACACTTACCCTACTGTGCTTTGTATCACTCTGGCAATACAAAAGGCTTTAAAAAGAGTGCAAGTTCCATTCCCTTGAATTACGTTTGGTTTGAGGCCTTTTTACATGGCCAAGGCAATGTAAAGGGATTTTAGTTAATGCAAGAAATAGCATAGCATCACTCTAAAAAAGATAAGCTGCTCGTGTTGTGTGCTGAGTGCATCTGTAGCCCATTTGAGAAGCTAAAAATATAAGGAATATATAAAGGAAAACTTCACGCTTTAATGTTTCTGACTAAATATTAACTGTGTAAAATAAGGCAGATGCTCCTTTTCTGGGTTACTCCCCATATTACACTTACGTGCTACTGGATCGGTCTGCTTCTCCTGACAAAGCATTATAATTAGTAATGAACTGGGAAAATCTGGTGTTTCAGTCTAGTCAGTGAGAAGTGGGCAGAAGTCATATTGTCCAACACAAGTCACATTATCCCACATTTAGGCCCTTTGCTTGTTGAAGTAAGTGGTAGCAGCCTCTGTTGGAGAGATTAACTGGACTAACTGGGATGTTTGGTTAATCTGGAAGAGCAGGTCTTCTGCACCTTTAACTTAAATACTCATGTAGTTTTAGTATCAGACCCTTATGATAATGTCCATAACAGGTCGCAGAAATAAATAACTAGGAGAAGCCCAGATCAAGCTAGTCTTTCTATATCTTCATGCTGATCTAACACAGATCTCTGACAATTCCCAGTTGACAGTAACAGCAAGTCAGCAGCAGTCAGATGGACAGAGTGGAAATTACATACCTGGAAAACCAGCTGTTTTCAGAGGCACAAACTCTTCTTACAATTGGGTCTCTGTTGTCTACAATCGCATTCTCCAAGGTCTATAAAAAACATCTTTAAATCTCTCTTAACATTTTTACTGTCTTTTTACCACAACATTAGGAGAAATAAAAAGAATTGTTCACCCCAAGTGTGCTTATAAAATCTTCATGTTAATTTCAGCAAGGGAGTCAGTCTCAGAGTGTGAAACACTACTGGTACACATCCTGGCCGGACCACAAAACCCCTGACAGTGCTCAGCCTCTGCTGCAGCTCATGCTGGATGTAGAAGAGGACAGGGTGGAATCACCAGGCAGAGGGCCTG